TAATAATAATAATAATAATAATAAATGCATGAATAAATCTCCCTATCTCCCATAGTTATTATGTACATAGAGTCTGTTTATCATTGCACTTACCGTGAAATAAATCCTTAGGGTCTACAATATTTCCAACGTGAAATATTTAAATAAAAGATATTTCACTCGTGAAATATATAAACCGTTATCAAAATTTGCGCAATTTACTCCACAAACTATATTCACATTCTAAGCTTCTGTTAGCAAAGTTTAGACTTGAATTAGGTATATTCATAGACCGTGCAATGCTTTTGCAGCTTCTCTTTGCCCTCAATAAAAACTTTGCTGCGAAGCGCGCTCACCATAGGCGCCCAAAGGACGTGTCAAACACCAGTCTCCCAGTCTCGCTCTACAGTCAAGAGTAGACATGTGTAACGTTTCTACAGTAATCTGAATTTTGTTCCAAATCGTAGCATACAGAACATAGTGAACCCGGATTACGTCAGAGTGCGGAGATGGAATATAATGCAATGCACAAGTATATGCTAGCAAACGTCTCCTAGCCTTTGATTTGTTATGGTAGCAAAATTTCAAATCACAGTTACTACCATCTCTATTCTTATGACCATGCAACATAAAAATAGTTAAATTTTTCAACTTTCTGTGTGCTTTGACTATATAAAACATTATGATTTTTTTGTTTGTGATTTATTTCACGGAAGGAGACATACGGATAGCATACTTTTTTAAAATGAGTATGGCTAAAATAAATAGAAGGAAAAAATCCAGATTTTTTCCAATTATCAACCATTGTGTTTTCATATGAGACTCTTGAATAGATCCTCTTGATCACTTGACTGGTAATTTAAACTTGTATGGTCACGATCTATTTTGTTAGCTGATATCAGTGTAGTTCAAAGATTGATTGCATTCGTTTATAATATGGTGTTAGACAATGATTTATCCAACTTGTGAAATTGTCAGTGGTAATCATTCCCTGAAACTCATGATTACATCTTGACAATTTCACTCATAGGATAAATAGGCTATATCTTGATCTACCACCACAACTCATGTAATTCTTTCGCATTCCCACCACGAAACTGCTGAATGCACTTTCCAATAGCCCAAACAACACAGTTCCAAAAGTGATCCTTTCACTCCCTCACCCCTCTCTCTCTCTCTCTCTTTCTCTCTCTCTCTCTCTC